ATTTGTAATGATTGGGAGAAGTGGTGATTAGTTTTTGGCAAAGGCAGGTTCAGCCATTACAGATACATGTTTTTGAGAGAACTAAGCATCCGATTTGAATTATTCAAAAAACTTTTTGCTTGTGTTCACAAAACAATGGTTTTTTGAAAAAAAGTTTTTTTTTAATAAAAAATTTTTTTTGTATATCGAAAATAATTCAGATTTTAATTTTAATTCTTGCTAAAGTTCTAAAGCTCACTTATATACTTTAAATAAATAATTTTAACTGAATTTTTGCAATTCAGTTCATATAATTTTTATAAATATTAGACAATGTTACAGTATTTATGATAATCTATTTAAAAACATTTAATATTTCTCGAACATTTCGTTACAGTACGGTTAGTTCCAGCAATTTGCCTTAAGGCACGAGGCCATACACCACTAGTTTCTATTTTAGTTCATTTATAAAATCACGAATGTCTGATTTTCATAGATCAAAATCATCAATTTTACTACTTAGGCCAAGATGATGAATTAGCCAAGAATAAGAGTTTTTTGTAAAAGGAAGCTCTTTCTTATCAAAATGATTTGAACTGAATTCATTTTTTTATTTTTTTGGTATCTTACTGGATTATATATTTTGAATATAGAAGATAGAAGGTTTATTAGATTACTTATTAAATTAAGGGACAATTAAGTTAAGTATTACAATTATAATTAATTAAAATATATTTCGAATTGGCTGATTAAAATATATAGCTGAGACAGAAAACAAAAGAACAGAAATAGAATTTTGTTCAGATTATGAGATGATCTATAATAAATGCAATTATTAAAATTTGCTAATCTATAAACTTATCACCGAACTATAAATTTTGGTCCTCCTAATACTAAGTCACTATTTCGGTAGGAGAGTTGTACCTGTCTATTTATTACCCGACCTTATATCTTTTTCATTAACCCGACGAAGAATAACGATTGTATTAAGTAAAGATCGTAGAAATATTATTTTCATTATAATTCTTCAGTAAGGACTGCAACCTTCAATTCAATATTTACAAAGTAATCTAATCAGTACTTGAATATTATTCAAATTAAATTTATCTTACTACTCTTGTTTATTATATACCTATTTACATAGCCCTTTTTGTACTGATATTCATCACATATTAAGTTTTTCATAATGTTTTATTATCGCTATAATTTGCAAGTTCGCATGTATATGATATATAAACAGCCTCATTAATATCCACTTTATAATTAAGATAGGAAATATTATTGCGTTGTTTCAGTTTTATCTATATCTCAGATAATTAAATGAACAACATTCCGGAAAAAATGTCCTTAAAATGGAAAAATAACATTTGCAAATAAGCATTGCTGAGGAATGCAAAACGTGAGCGCTCTTAAATAATGTTTATGAATTTATAGTTGATGAATTTAAAGTCAATACATTTTTGTTGTTTAGACAAATAAATAAATAAACTTCATTTTATCGTGGTAAATAAACCGTGAAAAAAATTGGTCGTCCAATAAAATAAGCAGTAATCGTGTGTAATTAAGAAACGATTGAATTTTGCAAAAGATAATGATCACAATAGAAAGCCAAGCGAAATTCTTTTTCGTAATGCTTCATGCCATTATATCACTTATTTAATATAGTTTGATAATAATTTTCGAAACATAGTTCTTCGTAAATTTTACATACAAATATTTGCAATTAAGTGTAATTTATGTAATCTCAAAATAGATTATTGACCTTTATGTAGATTACTTCGATTATTCGTAATAAGGCATTGCATAAAAACACGATAGAAAATTTTGCAATAATTCTGCTAGATACTTTCAGGGCTTCCTAAGCAAAAGGATTCTATTGATTTTGTTTTTTCATTCGGAAATGATATATCGTCATTCATTGCAGTGTAACCAGAATTTAGTGCTGCATGGCATCATGTCTTGAGGCAAATTGCTGGATCTTCCCGCGTCGTAACGAAATATTCGAGGAATCTCAAATGTTTTCAAATACATAGATTATTATAAATACTGTAACTTTAATTATTCGTATTTTATAGACAAATTATAAAAACTTATAAATTTGACGATGACGTTTATATAAGTTGACATGAAAAGTGGATAAACAAAAATTAGTCAAACGGAGTTAGAATGAAGGAACTTATCTCATATTTCTAAGAGTTATATAAACTGAATTGCAAAGTTTGAATTATTTGGCTCAAGTAAATAATTCTGCAATTTTTCGCACATTTAGCTCAGTATCTCCGAAACGGCTGGACCTGTTTTTGCCAAAAGCTAATCACCACTTCTCCCCATCATTACCAATTAAATGTTTTTTGAATTATTCAAATCGGACGCTCCTCTTAAAAACTGAATTACCATTTTTGTTTGCGAAAAACTAATCAGCACGTTGTCTTATCTTATCAATAGGAATCGAATGTTTTTTTTGAATAATTCAAATCGGTTAACCGGTGCTCCCGTAAACGTCGACTAAAAAACGTATCCATACATACGCACACACACACATCCATTCTTCCTAAGGTATGACAAAATGTTCAGAAACCTCTGAAACGCTAAGATATGCAAAAAATTTAATTTTCGATTTTCACTATAACTTACCCTACAGTATAAATTTGATTTGAAACAATTAACTCATCATACGAGGATATTAGTTGTTTTCACGATGAATTTTCAAATATCTGGAATTTGTCATAATATCATTCGAAACATTGAATTGGATTTTTTTTATTTTCTTATAAATTACAATCTGTCTAAATAGAAAGACATTGAGTAATTAGTTTGACAAATAGCATTTTAAAAGAAAAACCCAGTGGCCCTTTTATTAATGCACAAAATTATATCTTAATTAAATTTTGATAGAATTGGAAATTTGAAATAGAAACTTAAGAATTGAAAATAATGTTATGTAACAAGACTAAGATTTTTTCATTTTCTGATTGATTAAATTATTTGTCAGAAATTAAGCTTTTGAATTTAACCTATTTAGAAATCAAAATTTGGTTCTTTAAGCCTATAGCAATATAACCACTTGGATATTGACCAAATATAAAACTTTATTCATTCAAAAATATCATTTTTTATAAACTTATTCTAGTATATAAAATAATTAGAAATTTGAGCTTATCATACTATGCATATGCATATGCATATGGTTCAATTACACAGAAGGTGCATCATTAATATTTATATATCGCTTTGATATGGTACAAGGTTTTATTTATAATATCGTCTAAATCGGAATAATTTCTATTTGCGTCAACAATATAACATGTTTGTATGATCCTTGACGATAATTGAATTATTATCTATCATTTATTGATGTTTGTTTTTAATACTTCGGAATATTACAGAGTAATAATATATTTTATAGAGCATATAGTTTTTAAATAAACTAGTGGGGTGGGTGGCATCGTGCCTTAAGGCAAATTGCTGGAACTTCCCGTACCGTAACGAAATGTTTGAGGAATTCTGAATGTTTTCAAATAGATTATTATAAATATTGTAACATTGTCTAATATTTATAAGAATTATATAAACTGAATTGCAAAGTTGAAATTATTTGTTTCAACAAAAAACTAAAAAAAAAAAAAAAAATGGAACAAAATTTTTTTTTCCAAAATCAATTATTTTGTTAAGACAAGCAGAAAGTTTTTTGAATCATTCAAATCGGACGCTTAGTTCTCTCAAAAACTGCCATTTCTTACATATTTAGCTCCGTATCTTCGAAATGGCTGGGCCTGCCTTTGCCAAAAACTAATAAACACTTCTCCCAATCATTACTAATTGAATGTTTTTTAGATCATTCAAATCGGATACTCCGTTCTCTCAAAAATTCGATTTCTATTTTCCGCACTCTTTGCTCCGTATCTCCGAAACGGCTGGACCTGCTTTTGCCAAAAACTAATCAGCTCTTTTCCCTTTTCTCAATAGGAATCGAATGTTTTTTGAACCATTCAAATCGGTTGATCCGTGCGCCCTAAAACGTGACTGGAAATTTGTATCCACACATACATACACACACACACACATACACACACACACACACACATCCATTTTTTCTGAGGTATGCTAAAATGTTCAGAAACCTTCAAAACGTCGAGAAATGTAAAAAATTTCAATTCCGATTTTCGGCCCATTACAATAACTTACCCTACGGGAAGTTAACAATACGTTTGCTTCTGCTTTATTTCTGCTTGAGATGTAAATTTCTTCTAAAATTCAAATTTGATAGGTCGCACCATTTGAATTGGGCGCCTTGAACTTTTATTTATGCTCCAATTTTAACACCATAAGATATATATCTTATATTATATAATGTGTTTGATTAATTGGCAAATTTATTGAAAATTTATTACGTTTATCAATTTTAGGGAAAAGACGAAAAAATAATGATATATAAGACTAAAAATTTTAATATAAAGTAATTATCAGGACGATACATGTCTGCCTTTTGAACGAACGCATCTCTTACTATAAATATCTCTATATGTTATATAAAGTTTGGCTTCTCGGTAGAAAGAAGTTCCAGATTTGATACCCGCCTCAGACAGTCTGATGTCAAGCCGTAGTTACATCGCTTTTTACTTAGAAATAGATAGCAATATGTTTCCAAGTGAAAATATCCCTTACCGGTATTGTTGCACTAATAGAAAAAAAAAAATTACTAATAATTGCATAGAGATAGGACAAACGTTTGGGTTGCCGCCTAGAAAAAATTCATTAAAAAAATCGGTACAATAGCTAATAGGGCTTGTTAATTTCTAATTGCTGTTAAATATATATAGTTCAATTGCTGTGACGAAAAAATGATAATCGTTTGACGTTTTTCTTAATCTCCTATTTGTCATTTTAAATTGTTTTTTTTATTATTTTAATTACTAAACTACTATGCAAAGAATTTTTAAAATCATTGATCGCGTTTCCATACGTATGTGAATTTGCATTTTTATATTAAATTTTGTAATATGCATGTCATTTATATGTAGGGCTTGCCCATGGTATAGTGGTTAGAGTTTTTATCTTCCAATCAGAAGGTTGCAGATTTCATATCCGCTTCGGGTGGCCTGATATCAAGCAGTAATATATCACATAGAGAAATGCCGAACGTTGGGTTGCCTCCTAAATAGTTATAAGTGGTAAGTTAAAAGTGTCACGAAAGCTTATAGAACTTTAAAATTCTGTTCGTATATGTAATATTATGCTGCATTTTTTTTAATAAGAAAAACTTATATCAGATGATACGGTTTGTCATCAACGGTCAAAATTATAGATATTAAAAAAAATCTTCAAGTATTAATAATTCAATGAATTTATTGAGATATTTACTTATATTCTCAGGGAATGATTGCCTCATTTGGCCTTAAAGAATCAATTTTGTTATTATTTATTCGAATAATATGTACACAGAGCCCACATTGTTATAACTCAGTATTATGATATCACTAATCAAACATGTTTTTTTGAATACAAGTTGTAAAAAGCAAACTGTATAGGTAGTAAACGACAATTAGCAATTTCCATATTCACAAATGAATTAGGTAAGCTTTGGTAATTTGTTTTCATAAATTATTGCTTGATAAATATTGAACTCTATTTCGTGAATTTTAACATAAAATTTTATGAGAAATATTTAACATAGATTACATTAGATACACACATTTTGTTTCATCTTCTGAAGGTTTCTGAACATTTCGGCATACCTTAGAAAAAATTGATGTGTGTGTGTGTTTTGTGTGTCCGCATTTTTTCGTTCACGTTTCCGAGCGCATGAATCAACCGATTTGAATGGTTCAAAGTACATTCGATTCCTATTAATAGGGAGATGTGCTGATTAGTTTTTGGCAGAGGCAGGTCCAGCCGTTACAGAGATACAGAGCTAAGAGTGCAGAAAATAAAAATCGATCGAAAGAACGGAGTATCCGATTTGAATGATTGCTTGTGTTGGCAAAACAATTGCTTCTTTGTATATCGAAAATAATTCGGATTTTAATTTTAATCCAGCAATTTGCCTTAAGGCACGATGCCATACATCACTAGTTTGGAACTAATTTGTGTTATTTTCGGTATGTGAATTTTATGAATCAAGATCATATTTAACATGACCAAAAACTTTCTGCTTGTGTTGGCAAAACAATTGCTTCTCTGTATATCGAAAATAATTCAGATTTTAATTTTAATCCAGCAATTTGCCTTAAGGCACGATGCCATACATCACTAGTTTGGAACTAATTTGTGTTATTTTCGGTATGTGAATTTTATGAATCAAGATCATATTTAACATGACCAGCAACCTATAGAAATGCAATTTAACATAAAATTACTATAATGCAATCTAATTAGTTTTTACGTTTTTCGAACTCTGAAAATGCTCGAAGTTAATCAACACTGAAAAAATCTCCAACTTGTATTTCCCACATTTAGCATTTACTAATATGATAGTAAATGTAACCCAGACGTAAAACATCATAAACAAATTTAATACTCAATGCCTTGCCTTGTATATTAAATAATTTGATTATTTACATAGAATTTACAATCTACAATACGATTATTTACCGACTTTTTCTCCGACTAAATTTGAATATGCATACCGATTTAATATCATAATCTTTTTTTTATTATCGATGCAATGAAAGATAGTGCAAATTCTTCCAATTTTCAAATTCCATGAAATGCAATGAAATAAAATTACCTAAAAATTTATTAAAATTCCCTCTATACAAAAATGCAAATAGGCGTAATAACTTACTCGTCATATCATTAGACACATTCATAGTCGGCACGTGTGGGCAGTTACGACAATTTTTACAATATAAAAGGTACAAAAAAGAACACTTTTGATTTTTTGCTAATTCGTACAAAAGCGCGGTCGACATTGAAATATTTTGAACGAAAATACTTATGGAATACTTGAATGTTGAATATTTTACAAATCATATAATAATACATGCAAAGGATGCTGTCAATTTTAGTAACGTTTTGAGTAAATAGAAGAGTAACACTTTCTTATATTCATTAACAGAATGAATAAGCGTTTGCACACGTTGCGTAGCATATGATAGAGAAGAATGCGCTTCGATGTGGCTTATGGACTACGAAATTCATTTTAATAACAATAACAAATAGTTAATTATTTATTTTTTGACTTTCTGCCTTTCATAATCCCATCGGTACATCGTGCTTTTCATGAGAGATAGCAAGCGCGTTTTGTTGAACGAGTCATTCTTGTAGTTATCTATCCAAAGGCCAGTCTTTTTTATTACATTAGGTAAAAATTAATTATTTCTGAGGGCTTTTTTCTGCAAGAGCATTGAAATGATCGTTGGCACATATGATGAGATTGCTGATTTAGGAGTTTGATCTAGTTAGTTATGGAACTCGGTTTAATAAACGAAAATTGTGTTCCAATATTTAATTGTTACTTTTAGGATTTCGTGCCCAACGACTTTTCTTCACAGTCGTCTCTGTTTACGACCATTTAATTTAGGTTATTTATACACTATAAGCCAATACCATTCGAACAAAAAATTTATTATAAATTGGTTAAAATTATTAGAAAATTTAAACAAAGTTCAAGTAATAATTTTTTATCAGTAAGTAATAATTTGTTCAAAGTCATTCTGATATGATAAATGGTAAAGTTAAGCAATGTAAATTCCATAAATATTTTGGAAAAACTCTTGCATTGGTACGGAACATTAAATTTCATAAATGTAAACGCGTTATTAATTTCTAATAATGTAATGTCTTATGGCCGAATAATCATTGTTTGCCTTCAAAGAGTTTCGGTAGACACCTCTATAACTCTAAAATAGCTGAACCCTTCATTTTCCAAAAAGCTTTGAACTTTGTGCATTAAATATACGAATGGATTTTTTCCTAAACTGTCCAAATATATATCGAATGTTTTTTGAATCATCCAAATCGGTTAAGCCATTTTTCACATAGCTTGACAAATCGGTCATCTAAATATGCACATATGAAAATACGCTTTCAGAGAAATGGTTAACCAATTTTGGATTGTTTTTAAACATCCACACATACAACGCATATTCTTGTAAGTTGTATTTGTAGTTTTTTAAATGATGAAGTCTTCAAACGTAAAGATATCCACAAAAATATTTTAGATATTATTGCGACTACAATAACTTGTCCCATGATACGTTGAAAGATCATTTCAATAAAAATAAATTGAATCGATGTGACTTTTCGGATGCAAAATAAAATGATCTTAAATGACCGACAGAAAAATGAAGATTTTGTTCTGTTTTTTCTTGTAATTGCAATTTGGGATAGAGTTTTGTTTTACTAATTTTATCTACTATATACATCACTTATTTTTCCCTTATAATTAAAAGAAAGATATTTTTAACTTTCTGTAGGGTGAGTTACAGTAATCGTACAACTATCGAAAATGAAAATTTTTGCATATCTTTACATTTCAGATGTTTCTGAACATTTTCGCATACCTTAGAAAAAATTGATGTGTGTGTATGTATGTGTGGATACAATTTTTAGTCGATGTTTTCGGGAGCACCGCTCAACGATTTGAATTATTTAAAAAGCGTTCGACTCCTATTGATAAGAAGACGTGCTGATTAGTTTTTTGGCAAAACCTGGTCCAGCCGTTTCGGAGATACGGAGCAAAGAATGCAGAAAATGGCATTAAGTTTGTGAGAGAATGAAGGATCCGATTTGAATGATCATTCCACTTGTATTGACGTAATGAAGCATTGATTAAATTATTGCAAAGGCAAGTCAAGCGGTTTTGGAGATCCAGAAAAAAGAAGTAGTAAAATGTCATTTGGCGGTCGACAATCAGATATTTTCGACAGTCTGGATCAACCGACATGAATAGGTATCAAAAAATTCCTAAAATTCTTTCAAGAAATTCTTAAATTCCTTTCAAGAAATATATAAATTTTCAAAATAAAAGATTTTTTTTTTCAAAATAGGAACAGTTTTCAAAAAATATCATTATTTTCAAAACAAGAAATTTTTAAAAAAAATTTCAATATTCAAATTTTTCAAATGTTTTCAAAAATGGCCAACGAAATTCGAAATTATCATAAAAAATCTAATTATTCATTTCTGAACTTTGAAAAATTTTAAATTATGGTACGGGAAATTCCAGTTATTTTCCACTAGATTATATTTATTTGAAAAGCGATTACTATAAGTTTATATAAACCTATAATATAGGTTATATAAACCTATAATAATAGTTCTATAAGGCAATCCAAAGGTTAGCCTAATCTCTAATTGATTCTATTTTTTAATAGAATTTTAATAGTTTGATAATACTACTGTAATAGTAATTACTTTTAATTTGATGCAATATAGCCAGGGAGAGCTATTTTCAGTTAGTAAAATATTTCCATTAATGTTTTTAAATGAAAACCGATCACTACTGTTCGATATTAGGCTGTCTAAGATGGGTATCGAACCTGCAACCTCTGGTTGGAAGGATATAGCTCTAACCTTGAACTCTAGGGTGCGGGAATTGAAAATGAAGCATAAAAACAATTATTATGAAAAATGAAAAAAACTATCAATTGGCAATCAAATAATAAATTTGAGAACAAAAAATAATAAATATGTAAAAAACTATCAATTGCATGCTATTTATATGAACGTTGTAAAATTTGGTGCAAATAGAGCAACGTAGAACTATTGCTTGTTGAAATTGTGTGAAGACTTTTCTATATCCGTTCGTAAAGGAAAACTATAATTTTTATGAGAGTATAATGGTATAATATGGTAAGATGAAATCCTACAGTGTAAACGTGGTTTTACAACATCGATATCGATATTATTGTGCAACATGCAAGAAAGAAGAACAATGCGTTACTTTTCACTTGTCCAAATGCGCTTTGAATGTTTGTTCATTTGTGACGTGTGGCCAAATATTCGCGTTCGTGTGCCAAGCCCACATCATCGATGCAGGCATCTCCGCAAAATAAATACATTTTCAGAAAGAATAAAACAATCACTTGAAAAATTCGAATGTTAAGCAAAACGTTCAAGAGAATTATTGTTTGTTCGCATCGATGTCGTATAACGAACCATATGTTGTAATACTGTATCTGAAAAAGTGTGAAATATTTCAATACAATACTACAATATGTTATTTAAA